TAAAAGAATATATTGTTTTTTTATTAGCCATTACTACATGTGTTAGGTTTATGATATAAATTGAATTATTAAAATAAAACAGAGATAAAAATAAATGAACACGACTGACGACATCAAACAACATGAAACGAATATAATCCATATCAAATGAATTTCACAATTCTGATTTAATGAAATCACATTATTTTTCCACAATAGATAGAAAATTCGGAAAAACTTGTTCAACTTTTTATTAAAAACCAAAATAGATCGACTCAACCTAATTAATAATAAATAATAATTATTATTCCAAATTACTTTAAATAAGAAATTTGGATAAAAGTTATTATTTTTTGAAAGAGTCCAAATGTTAATAGATCAGTTTAATTATTTTTAAACTAGTACATATTGCTATAAATCAAATTGCATTAAAGACAAGAATTATTAATATTAGAACTGGTATTTTTAGTATGTCTAATATAAATACATATATAAATAAGACTGATCTAACTATGCCAAAGTAGTCAATCAGTACAATTGGCAAACACAATGATATGTTTAGTAAAGTTTGTTAACTAAAAAAAATTATATATGTAAAATTTTCTTCTGTAATTTGAATAATTAACTTAAGATTTTCATGATGTACGTAGAACGTATGGATTTGAAAATGCAATTATCGATTGTAAAAACTAAAGAACATCATTGTTTTCAAACTTAGTTTTTAATTAGTATTTATATATATTTGATAACGTAAATTTGCTGAATGTGAGCAAATCTCAGGATTTGTTATTGAATTAAATTAATATTCTTGTAGTTTATTAAATGTGTTTGTTATTAAATATATTAACAGTCATTTTTCGTTCAATATATTAGTTATTCATCATATTAAAAACTGACAAAAAGGCCATTTTATAGTGATTTTGGTGTAGCGCGATTTTTCCATATAAGTGAACATAAGTAATATAAGTGAATTTTTCGGTTTTACACGGATTGGTCTATTTATCCAATTTTTGCAATCCATGCAATTTTTTTATCTTTTGCATTTAATTTGTTCTTATCATAAAATAATTTCGATTGTCTTTGTCTGGAATGTTTTTTTTTACCATAACGGGTGGTAATTTTTTATACAGATGAAAGTACTTGTGAGTCGTATCTCAAGTGATATTTTATGACGACCACCAGAAAAAAATGATCTCGTAAAATGCTCGACGAATTGCGTTTAGTGAAAGTTTCCAGATATTATCAGAATGGTATATAGGTTATTAACTGAACTAATAAACATGTAGGGGAAGTACAGACAAAATAACATGGTGGTTTGTCCTATAATTGATGATATTTCTCTAAATTAGTTACAATCGTTTTGATTCTTTGGTTCATTGACTACCAGAAACAGTCTTATAATTAAGAACGAAACTAAAATAACATATTTATTAAAGAAAAATACGACCAATTACAAAAACCATTTTGCCCATAATTTGTCTAAGTTTATATCATCTAATAACCATTTATATGGACATTACTTATGAACTTAGACATTGGGTAGGGATATACTGAGATGCTAAGTTTTAAGAAGTTCATGATGCATAAGCTCAAAAGGAACCAATGCAAGACTCTTTTTTTACCGGTGGATTTTTGGTCAGTTTTAGAAGTAATTTGAGTAGAAGCTATAAGCCAATTACCTTTGACAGGTTTTAATTTACCCTGTAGATCTTACAAAATCGTTTTATGTCATTTTGCCCATTATATTGTATTAGTATGTTTGTTTGAAAGGGAACAAAAATGAATAAATAGTAAAAAATCCATCCTGATAAATGCTATAAAATTGATATGTACCATTTTGTCCATATTTCCCCTACTCAGAAAACATAATAAACTTCTTTTAAAGCACAACAAAATGTATGAAACAATTATATTTATGACCTATTTAAATATTTATGATTAGAAAAAAGAAATACAAACATATGGTAATGTTATCTACATGATGCAGATAACTACGAGTATATAGTGGAGTAAATTTCATTTTCTCTACATTAATAAAAATTAATTACAATATTTGTTGATGTAGTCTATATCAATAAATATTGTAATTAATTTTTATTAATATTTTAGAAGATTAAATTTAGTCTCCTTTAATAAATAGTTAGTTAACTTCATTTCTTTATTCTCATGTTTATATATGGCTCTATTTGAATACATATTTCACATTTCCTAATTCTTGCAAATGCCTTTTTGTACAGGTTTGTAAATATTTAAACTGATCAATTAACATTGGGACTCTTCCAAAACATTGGGACTCTTCCAAAACATTGGACGTGGTCCAAGTTTTTCTTGAATCATCTTTCTGGCCTTTATACAAAGTATCTTTATTTGTATTCTCTATTTTTATGAACCTGTGTTTCAAATATAAAGATCAGAGACAGAAAAATTCGTAGAAATTTATAAAAAAGAATAACTATATATATGAGATTTATGTATTATCATTAACTATAAATATTTGACGTGGTTATAAATGTGCACTTTTAATATTCATACGTATAACAAATTAGTTTTTTACTCGTTTTATTAAGATGCTCGTCTGTTTAAAAGCCTGTTCAGTTTTTTAACAACTAATTAAAATTTACATATCACGGGTTTATTTACCATAAATGATTTATGGCATATTAATTTTAATCATAATTTGTTACGTGTTTTTATGTTTTAAAATCAGTTTTAATGGAAATCAGTTATTAAATGCTACTACTGATCATTACATTTAATTATGGTTTATATAACTATTCAATTAATTTTAATTATATATTTCCGATGTTGGTTTTATAAATGTCAGTTGCAGAGGAGGCAGTTTCAATAGCGTTTTTAGATTAATTTATACCTCCAAAGCATAAATCAAATTCATAGTAATTTGAATAAAATGTTATTTATAACGTCAACATTGAGCTGTTAAACCGCAAAATACATTCGATTGTAATAATATTTTATAAGTAGTAAATTTATAAATAAATCATGTTTGAATTATGGTAATTCAATTACTATTAACTCATGTAATTGTTTGGTCACAGTTTTTAATAGCCAACTAATAAAATTTTAATTTTGAAACATTTTAATTCAACAATTACTTTTTTTAAAGAGAAATTCAGATATGCTCTAGAGATCATAGAAATCTTATCCAAATATTTACTTATCTTTTTATTTAGTAAAATGTGCATTGAAGGAGCATTCTATTCCTGCATTCTATTATTACAGTTATCAGTTTATTCTGTAATAATTTAGTATTTTCTAATTTAGTAGATACATTTAGAAATATAAATTACATCGCACATAATGTGATTTATATTTATTCATTAAGTACAAATTAATTTGACATTTGCAAAACATGCGCAAAAATACCATCTTGCAAAACCTAATCAAATAAGCATCACATATTTAATTATGGTAAATAATACAGGAAATTTAAAATAGAAATGCGTATTTATTGTATTCAACAAAATTTCTTTAATCAACATACAGATTGTCGTAATTGTTTGTAATGTAGATATATAATATTTTTATTAGTGCATATATAGGTTTTTATTTTTTACTCGATTTTTTTTTATTATAAAAAGATCTAGTATTTTACTATCAATTCTGATTAAATGCGCCGACTTGTTTGATGAAAATTTTGTATTTATGGTTCAACGAAAAGTCTCTGTTCTTTAAAACTTGAGGTAATTGTATATTATTATTTTTGATTGTTGTCCTAGAAATATTATTTGCGAGTACAGATCCAAAGCTTAAATGAATAAAATGAAAAAACCATAACCGAAAAATGGTCACATGTTCACCAAAGCTCTAGGTTACACTTAAAAGCTCATATTTTTCAAACTACGTGAGGTATTCTTCTTTAATTTGTTTTCATGAAGGTTATGATCAATACTATCATCACGTTTTGGCTAGGCGTTGAGATCTGGGACACCCCATGCAAAAAGAAAGGATACTAATATAACGTTTTTGCCACTACAATAGAAACTCGATTAATCGGACTAATTGTCGTCGACATACGGATAATCGAAAATCAGGATAATCGAATGTATGAAGAATAATGTTATGTGTTTATTAAAAATAAAGGAAATAAGTTAGTACTTACTTATGTGTGTACATACATATTTTCTTAGATTACATTACATTCATAATAGTAAACTGGAGCATTGATCATGGAATAAAATATTTAGGTACTTATGTACGAATATAATAATTTGTTAGGTACGTATATAATAATTTGTTCACAATATGTATTTGGTAATCATGAAATAATTAGGTAAACAGTTCAATTTGGTTTAAAATATTTGGTAATTGTCATTTGACGTAAGCGACTTTTACTCTTCATTGCTGCTATATCACGAATTGTTCATATAAATTGTTTGGTAGTCCGGATAATCACGAATCCGTATAATTGAGGGCCGGATAAACGAGTTTTTTACTGAATATATTTATGCAACTTTTATTGCAATTTCTTACAAATCTTTGAGGCGTATATGATTATAATGTCTCTTAACCTGCCTGTCTCTTCTTTAACTTGCCTGCAGTTTTCCAAGTAAAGAAAACGCTCTGTAAATATAAGAAATATTATTGAAATGAATAAAACAGTCAATGCGTCGAATGTAGAAAATTTTTTGTAAGTTTCGAGACTAGATGTGTCTCATCATTCAGCAGATGAGGAAAAAACACACTTTATTAACACATTTTACAACACAACAATCACATGATACTACTGTAGGAAAACAAAGATAATTTAAGAAAAGACCGAAAAAGGTAAATGTAAAAATGTATAAAACATATAAAATGTATAAAACATTTAAATTGTCTAAAACATATAAAATGTATAAAACATTTGTTTCTAACGGATAGCATAGCAACACAGTTGGACTTAAATTGAGAAATATTATAAAAATACATCAATAACATTTTTTTGAAATTACCCTATATAACTTTTAGACATTTAGTTGATCCATATGTGCTTTATTACATATTTGTAATTCGATTTCCAGGAATTTGCTCGTTCACTGGATGCAGGCACTTCTGATGACAGCGGAAGAGCTTCGTTGCGTCTGACTGGTTCATCAGTCGCTCCTCGAGATCCAGACAGCTCCAGAGATAGACTTAGTGATGTAAGTACTAATCACAATTATACCACATCCACATCCACATCAATGATTATTATATACGATCGTACATCAAAAGACGTGTAGGCTCAGAAAATCTTATTCATGTAGAAAGCTTACGATGACAGAAATAACAACTCTATTATTTGTAAGGAATAATTATATAATTCTAAATCGCATGATTTTAATTGAATTTGCTGCTCATTTTTATGCGGTATATAATTTTTATTAAAAATCGTTACCGCGCTGATTATTTTAAATTGTAAATATTTAAGCTTACAAATAAGGCACTAAGTTACTAATTAGTAATATATTAAAATGGCAGTTCGATCAATTTAAAGATATTATAGAAACTATGCATATAAAAGAACAGTTGCATTTTCTATTTTTGTAAGAGTGAACTTACTTGAAATTCATACCAAATATTAGATAAATTATCTATTTAAAGATGTTTGATATGATGATATTCATTATATTTGATGATATAATGAACTTACTTGAAATATATACCAAAGATTACATAAGTTATTCATTTAAAGATATAATGACCTTAGATAATGATAAAATTATTGATATAATGAGTTTATAAATAAATTCATTTCTGCGCTAATATTTTCATTTCAATTATTTAAATTTAAAATGACAGTTCAATCAATCAAATCGATAACTATGCATAGAACTGCTTATAGAAACTATGCACATAAAAGAACAGTTGCATTTTTTATTTTTGTGAGAATGAACTTACTTGAAATCCACACCAAATATTAGATAAATTATCTATTTAGAGTTGTTTGATATAATGATATTCATTATATTTGATGATATAATGAACTTACTTGAAATATATGTCAAAGATTAGATAAATTATCTATTTAAAGATATAATGACAAATATTTGATAATGATAAAACTATTGATATAATAATTTTATAAATAAAAACATTTTCGTTCTAATATTTTCATTTCCATTATTTGAAACTACATCAATAGATAAAGAAAGTATAAATAATTTTAAATAGCAAATATTAAAATTTACTAATAGTCATTAAGCTTCTGATTATAGTAATATATTAAAATCACATTTATATAACAAATTGAAAAAAATGCATAAAATGAGTATATAAAAGAAACAGATGAATTTTTCATTATTGTGCAAGTGAACTTACTTGCTTTCTATACAAAAGATTAGATAAATTTTCTATTTAAAGATGTTTGATATAATGACCTTTGATAATCATAAAATTATTACGTGTTGATTCAATTGTGTTAAATCAACTTCTATCACAGCAATTGAAATTTCTTAATTTATCTATAATTTTAAACCATCAATCTATCGAAGATCTATTTGATCTATAAATTATCGTTATTGATCTACTTTCTATGAATTAATTTTAAATAAGGTGTGTTCGGTGTTATTTGGCAATCTAAAAGATATAAATAATTTGTTTCAATTTATCTATTTCTTATTTTATCTAATCTTTGGTGTAGCATTCGAGTAAATTCATAACTTACACAATAATATAACATTTTTTATCTATTATCTTCTTTAACCGATATTTAGGAAAACCGGTTTTTGAATAGTATTTCTCAAAAAAAACGATTATCAGTTTTTATAATAGATTTAATTCAGATTTTATAATAGATACAAGATTTTCTCAAATAATTCGAACAAAAAAAATCTACAGAAAAAGATTATTAGCACTTTTTGACTGATATTATGTATTCTTAAATTCTATTGATAATAATGTTTTTATACAATTAGTAGTTTAGTATTGTGCATTTTGACCAAGCTTAAAAACAATTAATCATCTGTTATTTAAGCATAAATTTCACATATAAGGGTGTAAATATTTTTATAGTAGTGGAAAGGGACGGCAAACGATTTGCACCAGTGTTTTCATCAATATGGTACATTTGGCTACTATTGTCTTCTTTTTATACATTGAAAACTAGTATTTTCTACATTTTTTTCTATAAAACATTTTTAAATGATCCTCGTTTCCGGATAGATTCTATATAAACATTTGCTACATTTTTAGTACAATTTGGTTATTTTAGTAATCTCACATGTGAGTTGCTATTTTAGAATCACATTAATTTCAAAATGCTAAAAATGCATTTCTGAAAGTGATTTTTATTATTATTATAGATATGAATTAAATTCTTTATGTAACACAACTTTTTTGTAACTTTATAATTATTTGCCGGTTGTAATTAAATGTTTATGAGCGTTGAAATAAAAACAAATTTGTAAACGGTTTCATTACAGAATTTGAGTGGTTTCTCGGTTGTTTTATGGTCGAGCAATTTAGTGTTAAATACATGAGAAATTTAACAGTGTTGAAATACAAATTCAAATGGTATGATGAGAGCAAGATTATTTCCTTATTTTATATAGTATGTCAATCTAAATCACTGGCACGTGCACATGTGGGACGTAATAGATCGCTTACTACTACCTAAAGCTTTAAGCTTTATGAGCTTATAAGTTTTTACAATATTGCAAGGGATGAAACTTTTTTTAAATTCTTGTTGTGTTGTCGTATGTAATTTATTCTATAATTTTATTGTGATATTTTATATTTAATATAAATGCAATTATTAACATATATTGTACAAAAAATACAAATATTAGCACTATTTCTCTACCTGTAGCATGTTATCCACTTTATAATCAATTTTTTAAATTGGAACTAATCTAGTTTCATGTGCCGGGAAATGGGAATCCCGTGCACCAAAATCGATATGCGAATTAATTTAATTTTCATTGGTTTTCTATGGTAGTTTTAGAAATACTATATCTAGCTTACACTAGCAATGTATGCTTTAGTCATTTTTAATTTAAATGTAGTAATAAAAGTATATTTTGAATAATCTTTACTTTTGTTGTACTTTTAATTACCTGTCGTACTAGGGTATTCAGTAAATAGGATCGAACCAACGAATCGGGGATATTTTGATCGATAATCGATTTAAAAACTTATCCAATCTTATTACGAATAATTCGAATAGACCTCAATAATGATTCAAATTATTTTCTATTATTTTTACAAATTGCTTTTGAAAACATTACCGTGTAGTTATTTCCACCTATAAATTTGCAATGTTTAAGTTTTGCCGTTAGCATATTGTATATGTAAGCAAGACTATAATACTGGTATAGGTAATAAATCACTCTTATTGCATGCGGTTTTGAAAGCCTTATTGCTGTTGCAAAACACACATGGTTCAAAAAGCCATCGACATTTTCTTCTATAATTACTTATACTGATTATGTTTGTAATTAATATGTCTACAATGATATGGGTACTTAGGTAACACACTCTTTAAATCATACACATATACATTATATATAAACACATATTTATAAACATATATATATATATATATATATATATATATATATATAGATATTAGATATTAGATATCTATGGTTATTGTACTATATTTTCATTTTTCTTCTTCAACAGGCAAGTAGCCGGTGTAGTTCCGGAAAAGGATATATCGTAAGTTACTTGCATTGATTATTATAAATTTAATTAGTTTTGGAAAAGTTTTTTTGATTAAATTTTCTATGACTATTGGTACTGATCTCAATATTAAACTATTCGTTATTCCTCGACTGGACCTGAATCAGAAATCCCATGTTCGATTCCGCCTCGAGCATTCTGTTGCCAAGCATTAGTGACATCAGTTTCCACTTGGAAATATAGATAGCAATGTGTTCTCACGTGAAAATAGATATAATCCGGCATTGCTGCACCAATAAATATTTTTCTTATCATAAAATTTTTAATAATAATTAATCGCTTAGAGTTGGGACAACTGTTTGGGTTGCTTTCTGTAAAATAGACAAGCGCTAAGTCAAATTTGCACAACACTTTACTGGACTCTTAATAAAAATAATATACCCAATTTCTTATTGACGACATAATTTAATAACAATATTCCAAATGTGAGGTTTCATTGCAATTGTTTGTAAATATTTCAAACTGTTTTTCTACATACAAATTCTATTCCAAAACCGAAATGAGTCTACAATTAATACAAAGAAACTTTTAAATGACATCGTTTCTGTCTCGAAAGATCGTGCTTTGCATAAATTAATAGATTTAGATCTTTCGAACAGATATAGGATAAAGTCATGTTTAAATGCAACTTCTTAACGGTCGTGACCTATTATTGGATATGGCAAAGTATTTATAAAGTCTGCAAAAATATGCATAAAACAGTACAAATTAAAGATCCAATTCTCGGATAAATTTTTTTTATGGCAACGCTATGTTACGGACCTATCTTCGTATGAGATGGTAGTAACGAACTGTACCACTTTTGTATGTACTTGCTGTGCGATCAAACGTTTTACACACTGAGCCTAACTTCACGTATATGTTATCAGTGAGACTTCAGAAAGATGTACTTATGATAAAATTGTTCTTTGACGTTTTTGCGTTTTGCAGGTTGGGTTTTATGTGTAAAACACATGATCAAACAGCAAATACATAGTTTTTTGACAGGCTGTTACAACCACCTCATATGGAGATAGGCCCGTAGCATAGCATCACTTATTATATTTTATCCGAGAATTGACCCCCAAATTTTAATATTTGGGTTTGCTTGTTTGTAATGTATATATATGTACATATTAAATCAATACTAAATTATTATTGGCGTATATGCTTCTATTATAATCGAAATATACTTTGTATATTAATGTTTCAGAACTCAACGTCAAGCCAAAAAGGGGTTATAGTATTAATTGTAACCATAATAAAAAAAATAAAAAAACGCATGTAGTTTGAAAATTATAAGATTTTGTGCAACCTAGAGCTTTGGTAAAATTGCATTTTTCGGTTATTGTAGCTAATGTCCATTGATTAAATTCATTTAAAGGGTGGATCCATAATTGTTTACGTTAAGGACCACAGGCAAAAATGAAGGCAATTAAACTATGAATTTAAAATTTTCCAAATTGTTCGACTTTGAAAAATCCTCTCTTAAAAAAGGTGTACTAAAGTGTTTTGGCAAGTTCCGTCAAAAGTTCGCGCATTTTATCAGGATTGTAAATGGTAAAATATTTGAATTTCTGAATAGAAAAATACTATGTTTCCGTTTCGGCTTGACGTTGAGTTCTGGGACACCCTTAATGTATATATTGTTGATAACTATTATGTAATAAGCAGTATCCTAAGTTATCAGTTCCCATATCAAAATAACTTTGTAATAAGTTAAGTACCAACGCTAACAATAATAAAAAACTTTTGTAAATCGACCCTATGACCTTATAATACGGTCTATTATATAAAAAGGGTTATTAAAGCGGGAGAGTTAGTTCTGATTGAACCTCCAATAAGTAAAATATCAGCACTCAACTAAGTAATAATTTAAAATAAAGTCAATAATCCTTTAAAAAAATGTTTGTTTTTACATATCAGAAGAGATCCAATAATTAATATCTCTTCATTTGGTGGCAGCGGTGGGACCAAAATAAGATATTGCCTATTATATAATAGTTCTAAACCATATATATATATATATATATATATATATATATATATATATTATATATATATATATATATATATATATATATATATATATTGTATGATTCTGCATTTGATGTTGGCATATGTATTAATAAAGTCTAGTAATCGGGCACAACATCACTAAAAAAATATGAATTTCTTTAAAAAGTTAATTTTACATCGATACGTTTCGGCTATAATACTAGCCTTCATTCAGTGGGAAATTAGTTAATCTTAGTGTTAAATTAGATTTTACTAATCCATGGTATTGGTAATGCACTACACTATGCTATATAGCAATTAAACTCGTAATTAAACAATATTTCATAAAATACTAATTCACTACATACTAAAAATTACTGGTTGAAGATATAAAATCTTCTAATTCAACACTAAAATTAACTAATTTTCTACTGAATGAAGGCTAGGATTATAGCCGAAACGTATGGATGTAGAATAAATTGTTAAAGAAATTCATGTTTTTATTGATGGTATGCCCGATTACTAGACTTCGTTAATATATTTATATATATATATATATAATATATATATATATATATTTATTTATTTATTTATATATGTTTTCTCATTTATTTATCTATTTATATTACTTTTTACTTATTTATATAACTTTACTTATATTTTACTAATGGAGATATTTTCTCTTTGTTACAGTGTGATAGTGAAGGTGAAGACGACAAGGTAAGCGATATTAAATTTATTGCAATTTATTATCAGAGTAATAAAATTTTAATGCCGTGTGTTACTTTCTGCTGTGTCTTTGGCTTTTAACGGATTGCTCAACGGACCTGAAAATCGTCTGCGCACATTAAATTTACTTAATTTCGCAATCGGTCACTGTAATCACGCCTTACCATATACTTGCGGCTATTAACCCTCATTGAGATATAAGTTGTGTTCTGTTTAATCAACAAAGAGTCAACAAGCGATTCAATAATGTAAATATTAAACAAGCATTGTTTTCCGCGCTGTTAACTGTTTCGCCGCAAACTATTTCGACAACGATAATGATCGTTCTAATCGTAAAAGTAAAGCAATAAACTTAAATATAGTCCCCGAGTGCGGCGGACTCTGCTATTGGAAACGAGCCAACGGCACGATGCACATCGTACGCCAAAAGTAGGTCCTAATACAGCGGTTTCCAACCTTTTCTTCCTTGCGCCCCCCTTTCGAATGAAAAAATATTGCGCCCCCCTTCTTATTTTTCTAACAATTTAATTTAAATATACTTAACATAACTAAAATTATGCCATATAATACACAGTATTATGAAAAATATACATACAAACATAACTATTTATTATAAGAATTTTCTGTTTCACATAAGTAAGATCTCACAAATGGTAATAAAATTTCTAAAGCATTATTTGTCAAAGTAGCAAAATCGTCCTTTACTGGTAACCAAAACTTAACAATATATTTTCGTCCTGAAACATCTGCTTCAATGTGCTATTATTAGATAAATCAATTATCATTTTCTGCTCTGCTTTTGAATGACCAAAATCATCATGTTTCTCAAGGACAAATGGATTTCTAATCCATTCGTATTTGGACGTAATTAGATAAAGTAATGCGAAAATTGGGTTCGTAGACTAGTCATATGACTGATATAATAATAAGATCTTTACTTACTTCTATTTCATCAGTAACACAAGTAATTTTAAAAGTGGGAAACATGTTAAAGTTATAAAGTTATTTGATACTAGCTATACACAGTTCTATTTTTTTCATAAAAGCCGTAATCTTGTCTTTCTGACCAAAAGCACGAATTTGAGATCCTTGCATTGATTTATTTAAATCGCTAAGTCTTTGAAAAATATCAACTAAATACGCAAATTTTGCGAGGAACTTTGTGTCCTAAAACAAGATTGCTCCGTTTCTTTTGTTATGAGCAAGAAACATAGCAATTTCTTTTTTTGAGCTCAAACACTCTTAGAAGTACTTTAAGTATTTTGTTGATTTGTTTTTGACACTTACTCAGCATTTAAAAATAATATTTTTGAAACAGCTTCGCGCCCCCCTTGGAACGGTATGGCGCCCCACAGGTTGGGAATCACTGTCTTAATACATTATTCCTATAACGCCGTAATTCACGGCACGTGCATTATTCATAAGACTCTTGACGAACAACACTTTTTTACCTCCACCATGTATCCTTTTCACTTTGTATTTACATACATCTACATGAACAAATTATATACTGGCTGTGGCGTGATAGAAAACATGCAGCTTTTGAAATCTAATTTATTACATCCGTACGTTCGTTTGCAAATCCAGATCATTCTTATTAATTACTTAGTTAGTCATCGTGTTGTAGTCAAGTTTAAGGATTAATAATTGTCGATGTTTTTCGTTGATATTGATATGTTAATATAAGTAATTATTGAAATGAGGAACTATGTTACATTATCTAACTAGTAATCAAATTGTAATTTACTTCTTACCTTATTTCCATGGTTTTCAATCTGTGGGGCGCGTACTCTGGTTAAGACTGTTGTAATAGGGGTATACAGCAATTTCCAAAATAAATCATAGTATTCCCGAAAATAAAGCAAACATTTTGAAATGATAAAAAAAATGAACAAATAAATAATTATTTTTTATTTATAATTTTATATAATATTACATGTTAATTTGTAGTCTGATAAATAAATTGTAATATCAGTTAAGTATTTAAGAAATACTTATAAATAAGAAAAAAATTAAGGCGAGGGGTTTTATAAGGTTGGAAAACACTGCCTTACTTGGTAAATCAAGTTTTTTTATAAGATTTTTATTACATTTAATATGAAAAAAATATATGCATTCTATAAATTTACAACATGAATATCTATCTTCATTTGAAGATAACAAAACAATTATTTAAACTATAATAAATTCATATAACTATTACTTTAATATAAATAATATTAATTATTTGGCAAAAATATCACAAAAACCACAAACCATATATTTAAGGACTATACAACACTAACAAAACCATAAATGTGTTGGAAAATTTTGGATAAATTAAAACTGAAATATTTATTTTGTCTAAAGATCTTTTATAAAACTAGGTAGCACATAGTTAGAATACCAGAACATATTTTTTGTTACAGAATCTATCAAATTAATTGTTGTGTTATTATTAACTAAACATTTTGAAAAAAAATAATTTTGAGATTTTATTTATTAATTCTCTAATTTCCGGAACTTGCATTGCTTCATGTAGTATTTTGTTTGATATATAGTGTAGATTTACTGGGTTTCTTGATCTTCCAAAAACTAATCTTAAGGCTTTATTCTGAATTTTTTGTAATTTATTTATATTATTCTTGCTTGTCATGCACCAAATTGGTGAAGGCATATATTATAGTTGGTCTTATTAAAGTCAGATACATTTTTCTCTTATTTGATTTGTTCAGGGTGCTTTTGTTTTTTAATAACGGTTATTAATCTAGCATATTAATTTTTTAGCTTGATCAGTTTTAAATTTTAAGAAAATAAAATATATCTGGCCCATAAAAAGAAACATTAGATAGCTTTTTGATATCGAAAATAAAAATATATTCTGAAAATTTGTTTATAAAAATTTATAATATTTTGTATTAAAATATATAATTTATTGTATATGGAGATTTTTATTACTATACTAATAGAATGACGAAAAATATGTTAAAGTACTTCTAAAATCAGACGATAGAGTAAAACTTCATATATGTACTCCTCAATGTTTCAAAAATGTGGAGCACTGAATAGCTAGATAAATTTTGATTTTTTTTTACTAAAAATACGACTTTTTAAAATGAACGTTAAATGCGTTTAAATTAAATTAAAAATTTGCATAATAAGAGTTTTTTCTGCGTTATTTTAACTATAGTTCTATTTATAGAATATTATTATAAATAGATTATAGCTTTGATATCATAGTATCATAAGACTGTAATTTGATTCCATTGATTTGCTTTCATAATTCATGCATCTAATATTATTAAATAAAATTACTAGACATGGCATTTTAATAGAACTTATTTCCTAACTAGGTGTATGTAGTTTCGGCTAGTATATTACCACATTTTATTTGTATGTCAGTCATAACAAGCAATATATATTGTTATCGTCAAAATAACAATATATTTTGTTATTGTTCGTGGCATTATTTATTGTTAAATTTATCAATACTCTTTCATCATAGTTAGTTTGTAAGTTTTTATATGGCTATTAAAACAATAATACTTTTATTTTAATACAATTTGGTACAATAAACATATTGCTATCGCTATTTCTAAAGAACCATCTTTATTTATTTTATTTAGCAAAACGTGTTTGAACAAAGGAATATTTATTGTTTTCACTTCAGAATTAATTGAATATTTAAATTGTCATTGTATGAATATCATTTTTAACTTCATATCAATTTTTTATGGCAGTTTACGCCAATTTACTATTCGATTGTAATTAAATGTAAAACTGATTTTTAAATTGCTTTTATTTACTTTTCACCAACAGAAATTCATTTGATTTCACAAACAGATTTTTTTAAGTGCTTATCGCTCAGATTATAATAACACTAAAAATATTAATAAGTATATATATATATATATATATATATATATATATATATATATATATATATATATATATATATATATATATATTAAAAAACTGTATAACTCGCTTATTGAGTTATAAATTCAGAGTTTACAGGATTAAGTATGTAAATTTTTAATATACTATTTTATTCTATTTTTATTATTATTATTTGTCCATAAAAGCTGTTTTTAGTAACCAGTGGTACTTTTCATATTGAAAATCTCTATATATACATTCTGAAAAGTTTGAAAGATAAAGTTTATTTTTCCATTTCTATTTGTTTCATGATAAAGTTTAATGTTACTTTGGCTATATTAATAATAGACAACATATTTCAAGAAGCCAGCGATTCAATATCAAATATTTTCCACGCTGAGAATTTTCATATAGTTTTTATCGTAGTGAAGAAAATTCATTTAGACAGTTTTGCTTGTTATAAAATATTCATATTTGATATAAAGATATATTCACTTTTGCGTATTACTACAAAAGCTGAGGTCAGAGATAGAGCTAGTAGAATCTAGAATATTTTATATGGTTTTGTAGCTTATAATTGCTAAAAAGTAAAATTATATTATTGAATAACACATATAAGGAAGTTTATGAAAGACGTACGCCAAAATTCCACTTGCACCTTGTTTTTTCTTGATTTGTAATTATATAAAGAAGTATCATAATGTAATCATGAATTTACAAATTTTAGTAATACCCGTTTTACATATTATTTTATTATCTTTTATTTATGGTTACGATTCTCAGTTTATAAACTTAATTTAGCAATCAATATTCTTTTTTAATTGCGGCTGATATCTTGGTATGCAAAAAGTAAATATTATCAGCAGACTTTCCTTATTATTATTAGAGTAGATATAGAGACCGCATTTTTAGCAATGTTTTGTTTCGTAGTATCTGTGGAATTTATGGTTCATAAACACAAATGAGTTATTTACGACAATTCACTTATTTGTAAAATACTATTTATAAAAGATTATTATATTTTTTTTCCATGGCGTTTTTGAAAACCAAATTGTATTCCAAATGTTTTTTTTAAAAAAAACACTAATATACGGTAGAGAACGGGGTACAATTTGACTTTGAGCAATTATATT